ATAAGCATTGATCGTTTTGTCTGGCCAAGTTGGAGGAAAGATCTTATGCGGGTTGTTAGTTGATGGATGGCTGGCGCCGCTGTAAAGGGAGGCCCGGACGGGAGGACTTTCGCACGCATAGGCATTCATCATTTTGTCAGGCCAAGTCGTAGGAAAGATCGTATGCAGGTTGTTTGATGATAGATGACTGGCGCCGCTGTTAATGGAGAACTTAAACAAAAATAATAGTCATTATTTTGTCGAGGTCATAAGTGAATACATTATTAATTTGATATTTTAATCTAACCGATGCCCATTTTACTTTGACAAGTGCCCCTTTTTCTTTTTAATCAATGTCCCTTTTCCCTTCTTATAAGTGCCCCTCTTCAGGTGTAAGATGTGCACCCTTTTTACCTCTGAAAACTGCATATTTTATTTTAACACGTGCCCATCTTCTTTTCCAATAACTGACCCTTTCTCTTCGATAAGTACCCCGATCCTGATCTGATAAATTCTCTCCTTTACTTTGACAAGTGTCCCTTTTCATTTGTAATACGTGCATTTTACCATCAAAGAACTGCCCGCTTCGACCACTGATGAGTGCCTCTTTTATGTATGAGAAATGTCCTATTCCCTTACGATAGTGCCCCTTTCCCCTTCTAATAAATGCCACTTTTCACATCTGATTAGTTTCCTTGTTACTTTTGATGTGATTGGCTTTTGATGTGAGTGCCCATCATTTGTTTTATCCACATTTCCCACTGCTGCTTAAAAATTGTGCCCTTATGCGATCATCTAAAGTCCCATATCTAGTTGGTTGGTTGGTTTTAACGTGACCAGGGGGCGATGGTTTTAAAGTCATCATCTCCGAGGGACTTGGTAGTAAGGACTAATGCCTTATCAAAGGGCACTAGCTCACCGACCTGGTTTCGAACCCTACTAAGCCAATGATTGCACCTTCTAGTTTTATCACCACGATGGCGAGGTGTGGCCTTCAAGGTATAAGGTATATCCAAAGAATCGGAGCAGCTTTGTGTAATAACTGGAAACTTTGTTATTCTACTACAAGAAATGTAGTGGAGCCGGGATAAGGGCAGGGGGCACAATGTCCCACATTTCATAAGAACGAAGTGTGCCCCTTTTCAGAAAAACAACCGTGTTCCTTTTTTAAAGCTATAAAACGTCCCTTGCGTAAGCCAAGGTAATCAATTGACCTTTGTTCAAAAATTTAAAGTTTGAGACCATGCACGTTTGATTTTTCAAACTCAACTCAAATGCATTTCCATTACCAAATGTCATTCATGTTAAAAAGACTGAGGCATAATTACGATACGTGTTATATGACAAGACGTTGTTATTATCCCTCATCTTCCCAGAAACAATAGACTTCTCATAGCCTCCCTAACATTTTCCCCTAATTTAAAGCGACTAAGAGTATTTTCCCCTACAAATGTCCTCCAAAACCCGCTCGCTACGTTCGCTTACTTTAAAGTTTATCTCATTATCTCTTCCAAAGAGTGCCCTTTTTTAATGGTGCCCCCCCCCCCCCCCATTTGAAAAAGATGATCTGCCGCCGTTTTAATTTTTCAATGTTATTGTCTTGACTATATATGCTTGTAAGAAATCTATTATTGCATTCTTTGATTTTAGCATGTCTTGTCAAGAAAATGGTCTATACAAATTCAGTCTAAATTAAATTCGAACTTCAACCAATCCGTTGTCCACATTGATTGTCTTCTTTCTACAGAGATAAGCAGGAAAATGAATATAATGATAGGATACAATTTCAAATATTCCAATCTAAAAAAAACATTCTATTTTCAATTTCAATTTCAATTTATTTCATTTGTCATATAAAAACATATATAATTATAACATTGATATTTACATTAATAAGTAAAGAACATACAAATAACATAACAAAAGATGAACATAAAATACAAATACATAAACGAATGAGAAACCAGCAAGAAAGGACAATTAAGTCTTATGTATGTGGTGCTGGCCCCTTGCGAAATAATAAAGAATTTTAACCTAAAACACTTAACACCTTACTAAACTAACATCTAACACCTGATTGCATATATATACATATATATAAACTAATAAAATACTATTCACAAAAATGTTCAAGTTCAAGTTCAAGTTTTATTTCAATTCAAGTCCATAAAAAACATATAAGATACAGATTATATACAATATAGAAAACACAAAATACACACAAAATGGAAACATGTCTACAAATATATCGGAATTATAAAAAGTTAAACAGCAATAGAAATGAATTGGGGAAACTGCAAATAAAACCATAAGGTTCTGTCGAGGCAGCTCCCTGTTATTAAAAGATACATATACAAGTTCCAACAATTGGCTATAAAAAGTATAACAATAACAAAACAGTGTACAAAACATAGGATACGTATTAACATGCAAAAATTATTATAGATTTAAAAACAGATGAAGTATTTTTTTAGTTTAGATTTAAAAGAGTTTAAGAAAGCAGTATCACGTATATCTTTGGGGAGAGAATTCCATATTTTCGGGCCAGTGTGTCTAAAAGTAAATAAGGAATTTGTTGATGGACATTTTTCAATAAAATAGTTATCAGGATTTCTAGTATTATAATTATGAACATATTTTTTACATTTCATCATAGTGGTAAGATTAATCGGCAGTTTATCAGTTTTATGTTTAAAAACCATGAGTGATATACAATATTGATTCAATTGAAAAATATTTAAAAACTGTAGTTGTTGAAATAATGGTATTGAATGGGCATCGAAATCAGACATAAGACATATTCTTACTATACGTTTTTGTAATAAATGCAGTCGTTGTAATCTCGTTGGGTATGTGTTGCCCCATACAACATTACAATACATTAAATTAGATGCTGCTTGTAAGTGTCGGCTTGCATGGTGATGTAGATATACAGTAGGCTCGCGGGTGCACCATGTGAGAGAGAGAGAGAGAGAGAGAGAGAGGATTGAGGAGTCCTGAAAAGGACAGTCGGTAATCTTTCTTGAGGATGTGTAGTCCTGAATAAACTGTTTGTGTAAAACGTAATTGTTTGTATCTCTTTTTAAATGTATTCAGATTTGGGCTTGCTTTAACATTCTGTCACTCCTCTGTCTCTCTTCTTTCTCCTCTCTATTATCTCGTTTTTTCCCTCTCCCCCTCTCTCCCTCGCACCTCTGCCTCCCACTCTATCTCTCTTTGTAATTCTTTTAACATACTCCCCCGGTCGCTACGCTCCCTCGCATAATTATGATACGGAATTTAATGCTAAACACTATTAGACATAGCTCACATTTCCAAAGGTTCGTTAAATCCTTCAGAATTATGAACCCCTTTCAATTTTTGGAACTAAAAACCTTTTGAATAACAATCATTTAGAATAAGAAAACCTCAGATTGATAAACTTTTGGACTAACTGACCTTCGCAAATATTCACCTTCGGAAATATACATCTTTGGGAGGAAAAGACATGTAACCGATCTTGATGACTTCTAGGTTCGTGTATATCTATAGCCTTATAAAGAAGTATAGTTGAACAAGAGATAGATTGATAAATTCTACTTTCCAATGATCCGCCCATTATTCTTTATTTCTTTTTCTCATTGAATACAAAGTCTCTCAAATCAAATAAAGTTATCAGTTATCAAAACATCTGGCCAACCTCATCGGTCCTATCAATCATTACACGCACGCAAGAATGATCAAAGAGGCTCAGATGAAGAAAGTGGTGAGGAATAATTCCATAAACAAGCCATAATCGGTTCGAGTCATCAATTCAGGAGCTGATCTCACCCGCAACAAGCTGCCTTCAGAACTATCTCACCAGATTGGTAAGCATCTGTTTCCTACTTTGCACACTATATTTAAAGAACTTTAATTTATAAGCGATTTTTCGATAATATTTTTATGGGGACCCATTTTTAAATCTTGCTTCATTCAAATGGCATATTACTTGTTTCTTTATTATTCACCAATACAATGCATATATTTTACAATCTGCCTTATTGGTGTATTTAATTTTAAATTCATAACTTTGATGTACGTTTACGCTAGATTTGTTATGTTTGTTATGTCTTCGGACTACAATCGTGTATCAGTGTATGAAGATATCAATCATGTAGAGGTGATGCGGTCATGTGGATGAGTCAAATCAAGTCTGGATTACGTAACGCATCGTTGTTATGTTCGCACATTTTAATAGGTGTTGGACAAGTCTATTGAAATCGCTTTTCAATTTGATTTTGCGAAGGTATTTGAATCGTATATACTGTTATCATCACCCATCTATCTATCTCTAAGGTCACTTTTTTATGGCACCCTGGGCAAATAATACATTTGCGCCGCCTCTGATCGAACTTATGAGCTAACAAGCTTAGTTCTCATCAATATCGTTCAGAAATTATAGAATGTATTGAAAATCCGGGAATTGGTAACCCAAAACCTTTTTTAGTCTATGAGTTATCCACGCGAGGTAATTCGTTAATTTATTGTTTAGGCTTGAGTAAAATTACATTATGGAACATACAAAATAGTAAGGAAATACCTTCATGTGATAACGTGTTGGGATATGAAAAGAATATTACACTGATTTGTTGACAACTTTCTGAAGTTCAATACTCATGTCAATTTTTGAAAAATCTGTAGATTGGCACATTCTGTTTTTTTTTGTATTTCCAGTAGAGAGAGTCCTAACGGGCTAGTTTCTTTTTTAATGTAAATTAAATCTATGCACAATTTTCATTTTCACCATTCAAAACGCGATTTCTTAAGCGTTTAAAATTATTTGGGGAAAAATTCCAACCGACGGTGTTTCTGAGTTTGAAAATAGAAAAATGCTATTCTATTCAATTCTTTCTATATTCTAGCAATATAATAAGGACAAACATTTTTGAGGAATTTAGCACAGAAATACGGTACCAGAACATTGGGGATAACTCCCAATTCTCGTTTGTTTTGCTCTTCTTTTTAAAAAACCAAACAGAATAGCCTTTCACATATTGCAGGCTGCTTCCCAAGTTAAACTAGTCAAGATGATGATGAAACTAGCTGTTGTTCTCTGTGCTATTGTGGCAACCAGTATGGTGTGCGCCAAGGATTTTGAGGAGCAAGATGCATTGGACACTTGTAAGTATATAAGTCAGCCAGGGACCTCAATGCTTGAAAAGTTTTGACCGCCCCCTTAAGAAGTCTGTCAGAAAATCCCTAAGCTATTGTCAGAAAAGTTGTAAAATTAAGACACTTCGTTAACGCATAATATGTCGTACGACCCTGTTTTACTCGAGGGGAGGGGGGCGGTAAGAATATAATGTGTTTTTCCAGGCACGGGTACTCTAAATGCATTTTAAAAAACTCAACAAACTTTCCTTGTTTCCCTCTCATTTTTTGCCTATTTATTTGACACCCTAAATGCGTCACTCGCCTTAATTAGCCAAAACTTGTTTTAATCGCGCGTATGTACATCGATATATATTTGAAAGCTCACCCCTGGTTTTTTCTTTGTTTTCATTACATCTCGTTTCTATGGCAACCATGCAGTGCTGAATCTGATGCTCTCGGAAGAGGCTGCATCTCCTGATGACGCCGTAGCCTTGCAGAGGTGGTTCAAACACCATCATATACATCATCATTATCATCATTTCATACACCATTATGGATTGCACCGGGGCCTCCAAGTTGCACGGAACGTATGCAAGGGGTTTGCTCATTCTCCAGAAGAAGCTCGTAAGTAGCCACACTAATATTTTTTTTGCCCCCCCCCCCGAAATTTTAAAATGGGGGGTAAGGGGTTAAGGGGGTAAGAAGGGTAAGGGAGCGGGGTAATTAGGGCGGTAAGGATTTGTTTTTGTTTAATATATTTTTTTTTACACTAACAGAAAAATTGCGTACGTGTTTGCATGCGATTAACACAGTATTATCCCGTTCGCTGGATTCCATTGCTACTCGGCACGTAATATTTGTCCACACTCCCCGGGGAGTACATATAGTATAACATATATTCCTGACAGGCACAATTTTGTAAGCGCACATGTGCTATTCCATGGGTTCAGACTTATATTATTGATACCCATGTGTGCCGGTGCCTGTTAGTGTCGAGTCCTGCCTAATAATCCATCCAAATTAATTTAACGCTCGCATCCTACCGCGTATACCATTCAAATCGTAGGTGGGGAGAAACAATGAATTAAAATGCCTTGCTTATAGCTTATAGGGACATATGGTTAGTGCCTTGTCGAGTATTACACCCAAAACCTTCGAATCTCCATTAAGTGTTTTAAGCCCCCCCCCCCCCCAACAAAAAAAACAACAACAACAACAAAATGTTTGGCGTCCTGCATTTTTGGAAAAAAGGAAGGAGTCCCTTTTTCTTCTCAAAATAGCCGCCCGGCACATTTCCCCAAGACGTCCATGATGGCCGCCAGCTTTTATATTTTATTCTAATTTTTTCTCCGAAAAAAGATCATTTTTGCAGTATGTTTTTTGTGTTTTTCCTTTAAAAAAAAAAGTGTCCTAGTTTCATTAAGCTTTCAAATTTTATGTTTATCTTTAGGTGCTAAAATTCTGGCTGCGATCCCAGAGATGAAAGAAGAGGATCTCAGCGAAGAGTATCTTCGATTGATCTGCGCAGGTCACTACCATCACCACCACCATGGCCGTTAGACTCGGTACGTATATTTGTACAATAACAATAACAAGATAATTGTAGTGCATGTGTTCAACCAATGATTTTCCACTCACAGTATATATATACAGAGTTGCATTTTAATCATCAAATTTCAAATTAGACTCAATCACTTTTTATCATTTTTTTTTGTATGTAGGAGAGGGGGGGGAGGTAGTGGCAAGCGGGCAGATCAAAACTCTAAATGAGTATTAAAACAATCCACCACTTATAAACCTTTTACATGTATTTTGCTTTAACAATTTAGATACCTGTCAAGTCTCAAGTAAGCAATGTTTAAGACTATAATATTATGGGCCTATACGAGACTGTGGACATGAGCCAGTGGCGGATCCAGGGAGTAAAAACATGTTAATTTTACTTTTATTTGGAGACGGGCCCCTCCCCAGGTGCTAAAGGTGCTTTTCTCCCACTTTCTCTCTGTCTCCCTCTCTCTCTCTCTCTCTCTCTCCCCTCTCCCGTCTATCTCTGACTCCCTTTTTTCCACAATTTCCTCATTATTTTTCAAACAAAATATATTGTCTTCTTTTATTTCTCACATAGGAAGGGACCATGAGGCAACATCCGGGACACTTGATGTTCATTCTTCCTGAAGAAACAATGAAATAAAAGCAAGAAATTATCACCTTCCATCGTGTTTTTGCAACATCCTAATATAATTAGAATCTTCTTTATCCCTCCTGTACTGTTTAAACCCTTTAACCTTGTTAATCCTCTAAAATTAAATGATGGTGAGTGGTTTTCATTGTTAATACATATTTTGCCTTCACTTCCATGTATCCATTCATTATAGATCTTTCCAAGGTGTATACAAATATGTAGGGTTACAAGTATAACCATTCTTAAAATCTAGCATAATAATATACATCTTTTTAGCATAAGCTTCAAGTTAAAAATCTTCTCCCAGTTTTGCTCTTTTTTCGCCCTACGAAACAATAAGACATTGTAAGCATGGTATTAGGGGAATAACTAATAGTATTAGAAATAATGCCGATAATAAAATCACATGAACATGACAAACCTACCTAGCGTGTTTGTTTTGGGTATTGTGTTATATGCTATAAAGCCAGTAGTGTATGATTAATAGAATAATGTTGGCATATAGGGAACATACGAAAAACAACACTTCGATAAGAATAAGTGAGAGAGGCTAAAATAAAACACAGTGAAAAGGTTGAATATAAGAATAAAGATAGAGAGAGAAGAGAGGGGACACGGGAGAGCAGGGAGAAGAGCGCGAAAGAAAGAGAAAGTGTGTGTGTGAGAGAGAGAGAGAGAGAGAGAGAGAGCGAGAGAGGGAGTGAGGCAAGGAAAGCGGAAAAAGAGAAAGAGGAGTGATAACAGAATAGACTACTAAAGACAGAAAGGGAAAATAATGAAAGAGAGAGAGAGAGAGCGCGAGAGATGCAGTGGCAGGGGATAAGCAATAACTATGCAATTGAGGAGCATTTAAGACGGAGAGAAGAGAGAGGGGAGCAGAGAGTGTGGGTGCGTGCGCACGCGTGTGCGTGTGTGTTTGTGAGGCGCACACATTACTCAGTTGGTCTGTATCAAAGTATCTGCAACATGAGACTACAATACCCTCTGTACTTAAGTTTGACCATGGACCTATTACGGATGGACATTCAACGTGATTCTTTTTCTGATCCAATGATAGTCACCGCCTTCTGATTATGTGCATCTTAATGAGAACATTTAGCTGTTTTAACAATAACGACTGCGTAAGCATTTTCGGTCATTGACAAAGGAGCAGTTTCACTGTCTTGGGTGTTGTTCGGATGGCGTGCTCTGTAAGAGTGTGTCTTGAATTAAAAAAAAAACATCCCCAATGGGGAGCAGCAAAGTTGAAAAGCAGACGATTTTGGTGATATGAAATGTATTATTACTGATTTATACACTTTCGCACACACCCATGACCTTACTATAAAATAAATAGAAGGCCATGATCTTTATAAGCCCTGTGCGTTGCAACTCTGGAATATTATTAGGAAATTGGGGGAAACGGGATTTTAAATCACAACCAACCCAAATATAACCTCTATCTGGTTATCAACATGTTTTTCAAATAAAATATAGTACACAGAACAACAATTTCCGATTATAAACCAGAACTGCACATCGATTTTCCATGATTTAAGCGAGTTATTATCTTCTGCGCATGTAGATTAACATGTGTAAAATCACTATCTTGATTCTGTCCCGGCTTTTTGGCGGTGCCCATTATGAGATCAAAGTGAAGAAACATGTCCGGAAGGTTATAAGACGACATTGACGGAGACAATCACAATGAATTCGTTAAGAAAACGATGAATGTCCATCCTTAATAGGTCCATGGTTTGACACAGCAAGAAACTGACAGGTCTAGGCTCTGCTCAAGGCTTTAGGAATTGTAGATTTGTGGTAAAGTGTTATATCAGAGTATATGCTTGCATACTATGGAGGAGCAGAGGAGCAACTAGGCCCCTAGGGTCTTAGCATGGACCTACTACATGGTCTTAGGGGTGTGATCCTAAAACAAATCAAAAACTGAAACCATTTTCGTGTAATGGCTTCCTGAAATCCACAGCTATAATGGACATAATGCATGTATCCGGACCTACAAATGGGAGGGCCAAGATAATGCACAATATTTTATTTCCTTAACCCTAATCACACATCATGGATATCCAGACTACACATTCAACAACATGTTGTCTTGAAAACTTGTATTAAAATAGGTAAATGGATCTTTTTGTGCCTTGTGTTCTAGTGGTAATAACCATTTTAAAGTAAGCATATGGTTGAATATTAGGGGTAACAATTTGGCCAAATTTAACTACATAAATGAAGCTAGATGAAGTTTATTCAAATAATACCTTGTTAAAATCTTTATAGCATTGGAACATCAGCATGATATAAACCCCTCATAAAAGTTTTGAAACTCAATGATCATCACTTTGTTTAGTATCAATAGAAAGTGTGCTAAATCATTTTGTAAATTATGTCATATTGTAGCCATGGAAAAGCAGTACGTTAGAATAAGGGGGCAGTATCAAAAGGAATAGTTGCAAAATGCACTGGATAGTAGTGGAATTGTATGCAAAAAAACTTTCCTTTCTTTGAAATAAGATCATTTTAGCGGTATGTAGCCATATACTGGTCAATCACATTTGTTTGATGTAGTATCAAGCAAACCTGAGTTAAATTAAAAATACTTTCTTCATATTAAAGCGAGTTTAAAATGCATCTGTTAGTTTTTGTAATTACTGCTCATAGAACTGTATGTAGGATGTTTCCCTCTTTTTTAATAACAAAAAATACATACAAATTAGATAAATAAAGTAGCACCAAAGCATTTGTAATATAAGCCCACAGCCGTTTTTTTCTTCTAAAAAAAACAAGGTGTAAAAACTACTTACTGCTGCACACTCACATTTTACAAGCACACATTTCTATATCTGACAAATACAAGTTTGATTCTTTTAAATGCCCTGATGCAACGCTGACTTCCAGTATAACTATGATTTCTATTTAAAAACAAAAACAAATAAGGAATTTTTGAAAAATAAGAAATAACAAAAATATTGAAGCGCCACCAAAAATTGGTGCGGGCGGGGACGAAAATTACGTAATTTGTTATACTTGGCAGTATTACAATCAGAGGTATTTAAATTATAACAAATATTTATATCAGTTACACTAAAATATATATCTGGTATAAAAGATGTTATACATAATAGAAGTAGATTATGCTGGATTGTTTTGATCCTCAAACTTAAAGATACACAAGGCACCCAGTTTTTGTATCTACACTTATAATATATCAGACTTATTACTAAAAATTCAGACCTACAATTAAACAGATTTGGAAAAACAATTATCATCAATTTATAAATTTACGAAATTACAGTACATGGGGAAATTCAATTTTGATAGAAAGCGGCAAGACATTTGTGCTTGTATAGAGAACCATGAAAATCTTGAGGCCGCAATTCAAATTATAAGATTACTGTCTAAAATGTTCAGGAAATTTTACCTAACATTCACCAACCAACTTTCTTGTGTGTAATTCTGAACAATGGTCTCAACCTGAAGTTGGAATAATATTACAATAACAATTCATTACAAAAATAAACAGGGCCTAGTTCTGTTTAAAATAGTTTGATATTTCTTCATATAAATTATCTTTCAATGTATTTTAATTTTTCTTATGTACTCAGAACTGCATAAATAAATGAAATAATATATATAAAAAAATATTAAAAACATAATACATTCCATTACCTAAAAATAAAAGCTGTCTTCTGCTTATGAAGCTTGAAATGAACAATATAAAGATAGGCTATAACCAACATAGATAAATATTAAAAGGACCCATTGCAGTATTCTATTAAATAATGGATTGCTTTGATGAAATCCGAGTGCGGAAAAGTTTGGAACCCAATTCGAGTCTACCCGTTTGTGAAGCCGGATATATTCTCAAAGTTGCACGCAAAGGCATTGATCGTTTTGTCTGGCCAAGTCGGAGGAAAGATCTAATGCGGGTTGTTTGTTGATGGATGGCTGGCGCCGCTGTAAAGGGAGGCCCGGACGGGAGGACTTTCGCACGCATAGGCAGTCATCATTTTGTGAGGCCAAGTCGTAGGAAATATCGTATGCAGGTTGTTTGATGATGGATGACTGGTGCCGCTGTTAATGGAGAACTTAAACAAAAATAATAGTCATTATTTTGTCGAGGTCATAAGTGTATACATTATTAATTTGATATTTTAATCTAAACAATGCCCCTTTTACTTTAAAGTGTATATCTTACTTTAACACGCGCCCATCTTCTTTTTCAATAACTGACCCTTTCTCTTCGATAAGTACCCCTTTTCTTTTTGTAAAAAGTGTCCCTTCCCCTTTCTTATAAATGTCGTCTTTTCAACTATGATAAGTACCCCGATCCAGATCTGATAAGTTCTCTCCTTTACTTTGACAAGTGCCCCTTTTCATTTGTAATAAGTGCATTTTACCATCAAAGAAGGGCCCCTTTCCATCTCTGGTGAGTGCCTCTTTTAGGTATGAGAAATGACCTATTCCCTTACGATAGTGCCCCTTTCCCCTTCTAATAAATGCCACTTTTCACATCTGATTAGTTTCCTTGTTACTTTTGATGTGATTGGCTTTTCATATGAGTGCCCATCATTTGTTTTATCCACATTTCCCACTGCCGCTAAAAAATTGTGCCCTTATGCGATCATCTAAAGTCCCATATCTAGTTGGTTGGTTGGTTTTAACGTGACTAGGGGGCGATGGCTTTAAAGTCATCATCTCCGAGGGACTTGGTAGTAAGGACTAATGCCTTATCAAAGGGCACTAGCGCATCGACCTGGTTTCGAACCCTACTTAGCCAATGATTGCACCTTCTAGTTTCATCACCACGATGTCGAGGTGTGGCCTTCAAGGTATAAGGTATATCCAAAGAATCGGAGCAGCTTTGTGTAATAACTGGAAATTTTTTCTTCTACTACAAGAAAGGTAGTGGAGCCGGGATAAGGGCAGGGGGCACAATGTCCCACATTTCATAAGAACAAAGTGTGCCCCTTTTAGAAAAACAACCGTGTTCCTTTTTTAAAGCTTTAAAACGTCCCTTGCCTAAGCCAAGGTAATTCAATTGACCTTTGTTCAAAAATATAAAGTTTGAGACCATGCACGTTTGATTTTTCAAAATCAACTCAAATGCATTTCCATTACCAAATGTCATTCATGTTAAAAAGACTGAGACATAATTACGATACGTGTTATATGACAAGACGTTGTTATTATCCCTCATCTTCCCAGAAACAAGAGACTTCTCATAGCCTCCCTAACATTTTCCCCTAATTTAAAGCGACTGAGAGCATTTTCCCCCTTCAAATCTCCTCCAAAACTAGCTCGCTTCGCTCGCTTACATTTATAGTTTATCTCATTAAGAAGCATATTGAAGGTCTTATTTATTATTTCATTATGAGATTGAAATAATAATGAAAAGTAATCGTTCGTAATGTGACCTCGAAAAACCTTACAACGTTTCGTCCATTGCTTCGCTCGCTCGCAAAGAAATATTTAGACCATCACACACAACAGCAGAGTATGATGCTGAAGCAATATCTTTGACCAAGTAAAGAGTAAATCATGAAAATCATCCTTACAATGTAATGATTACGCTTTAGGATATTTAAATATTTCGCTTTGATGTTACCCTTTGTAGGTGCCTTTTTTCTTCCAAATAGTGCCGTTTTTAAATGGTGGCACCCCCCCCCCCCCCTCACTTTGACAAAAACAGGCTCTGCCGCCCCTTTATTTTTACAATGTTATTGTCTTGACTAAAAATCTATTATTGCATTCTATGACTTTTGCATGTCTCGTCATCCGTTATTCACATTGATTTTCTTCTTTCTAAAGAAATAAGCTGGAAAATTAATTTAATTATAGGATACAATTTCAATTATTCCAATCTCAGAAAGAACTCAATATTTTCTCACTCCTCTGCCTCTTTTCTTCCTCTTCTTTCTCCTCTCTCTCATCTTGCTCTTTCACTCTCCCACTCTCTCCTTCTCTCCTCTGTCTCTCACTCTATCTTTCTGTATGTGCATAATTATTTTAACATACTTCCCCGGTCGCTACGCTCCCTCGCATACGATACGGAATTTAACGCAAAGACTTCCGAAGGTTCGTTAAATCTGCCATAATTAGGTTCATAATTACGAAAAATTAGAAATAGGGTTCTCTCTCGTTTTTGGGATTATGAACCTTCAGAATCATGAACCTTGTTTCATTTTTGGAATTACAAACCTTTTAAATCACAATCATTTGGAATAAAACACCTTCAGATTAATACATTTTGGGAGTTACTGACCTTCGCAAATATGAATCTTTGGGGAAAAAGACATGTAACCGATCTTGATGACTTCTAAGTGCGTGTGTACATATAGTATAGTTTGAAAACGAGATAGATTGATTAATTCTACTTTCCAATGATCCGCCTATATATCTTTATTTCTTTTTCTCATTGAATACAAAGTCTCTCGAATCAAAATATAGTTATCAGTTATCAAAACATCTGGCCAACCCCAGCGGTCCTATCAATCATTACACACGAACAAAAATGATCAAAGACGCAAAGATGGGGAGAGTGGCGAGGAATAATTCCATAAAAGGGAAGCCATAATCGGTTCGAGTCATCAATTCACGAGCTCATCTCACCCGCAACAAGCTGCCTTCAGAACTCTCTCACCAGATTGGTAAGCATCTGTTTTCTACTTTGCAGACTATTATTTCAGAACTTCAGTTCATAACTGATTTTTCGATAATGTGTTTTTTTGCCCACTTCTAAATCTTGCTTCGTTCAAATGGCATATTACTTGTTTCTTTATTATTCACCAATACAATGCATATATTCTACAACCTGCCTTATAGGTTTAATAACTTGTAGTTCAAAACTTTGATGTTTAATCTTTACCCTTGATTTGTTATGTTTCCTTTTACATATTATAATGATGATATTATTAGTCTTCGGACTACAATCGTGTATCAGTGTATGAAGATATCAATCATGTAGAGGTGATGTGGTCCTGTGGATGAGTCAATCAAGTCCGGATTACCTAATGCATCGTTATAATGTTTGCACATTTCAATAGGTGTTGGACAAGTCTATTGAAATCGCTTTTCAGTTTGATTTTGCGAAGGTATTTGCAATCGTATATACTGATATCATCACCCACCTATCTATCTCTAAAGTAACTTTTTGATGGCACCCTGGGCAAATAATAAATTTGCGCCGCCCCTGTCCAAACGTATGAGCTTAGATACTAACAAGCTAAGTTCTCATTAATATCGTTCAAAAATTATAGAATGTAGTGAAAATGATTTTAACGTATTTAATCCGGGAATTGGTAACCCAAACCTTTATTAGTCTATGAGTTATCCACGCGAGGGAGGAAAAGCGACCATGCGGTGAAATTGATTGATTGATTTTATTCGTTAATTTATTGTTTAGGCTTGAGTAAATTTGCATTATGGAACATACAAAATAGAAAGGAAATACCTTCATGTGATAACGTGTTGGGATATGAATAGAATTGCACTGATTTGTTGACAACTTTAATATATACTTGAATATTTTACTACTCATGTCAATTTTTGAAAAATCTGTAGTTTGGCACATTCTGTTTTTCTGTATTTCCAATAGAGAGATTCCTAACGGGACAGGCTCTTTTTTAATGTAAATTATATCTATGCAAAATTTTCATTTTCACCATTCAAAACGCGATTTCTTAAGCGTTTTACAATTTGGGGGGAAAAATTCCAACCGACGGTGTTTCTGATTTTGAAAATATAAAAATGCTATTCTATTCAATTCTTTCTATATTCTAGCAAGATAATAAGGACGAACATTTTCGAGGAATTTAGCACAGAAATACGGTACCAGAACATTGGGGATAACTCCCAATTCTCGTTTCCTTTGTTCATCTTTTTAAAAACCAAACAGAATAGCCTTTCACATATGGCAGGCTGCTTCCCAAGCTAAACTAGTCAAGATGATGATCAAAGTAGCTCTTGTGCTCTGTGCTATTGTGGCAACCAGTATGGTGTGCGCCAAGGATGTTGAAGAGCAAGATGCAGTGGACACCTGTAAGTACATAAGTCAGCCAGGGACGTCAATGCTTGAAAAGTTTTGACCGCCCCCTTAAGAAATCTGTCAGAAAATCCCTAAGCTATTGTCAGAAAAGCTGTGAAATTAAGACATTTCGTTAACACATAATATTGTCTTACGACCCTATTTTACTCGGGGGAGGGGGGGGGGAGTAAGAATATAATGTGTTTTCCAGGCACGGGTACTCTAAATGCGTTTTAACAAACTCAACCAACTTTCCTTGTTTTCCTCTCATTTTTTGCCTATTAATTTGACACCCTAAATGCGTCACTCGCCTTAACCAGCCAAAACTTGTTTTGGTCGCGCGTCTGTACATCGATATATATTTGAAAGCTCCCCCATGGTTTTTTTCTTTGTTTTCATTACATCTCGTTTCTATGGCAACCATGCAGTGCTGAATCTGATGCTCTCGGAGGAGGCTGCATCTCCTGATGACGCCGTAGCCTTGCAGAGCCATCACCGTCATCACCATCATGGCCATCATGGTACGTATATTTGTACAATAACAATAACAAGATAATTGTAGTGCAGATGTTCAACCAATGATTTTCCACTCGCAGTATACATATACAGAGCTGCATTTTAATCATCAAAATTTCAAATTAGACTCAATCACTTTTTATCAAGCATTTTTTTTAAATGTAGGAGTGGGGAGGGGGGGGGAGGTAGTGGAAAGCGGGCAGATCAAAACTATAAATGAGTATTAAAACAATCCACCACTTATAAACCTTTTACATGTATTTTGCTTTAAAAATGTAGATACCTGTCAAGTCTCAAGTAAGCGATGTTTAAGACTATAATATTATGGGCCTATACGAGACTGTGGACATGAGCCAGTGGCGGATCCAGGGAGTAAAAACACGTTAATTTTACTTTTATTTGGAGACGGGCCCCTCCCCTGGTGCTAAAGGTGCTTTTCTCCCACTTTCTCTCTGTCTCACCCTCTCTCTCCCCCCCCCCCTCTCCCGTCTATCTCTGACTCCCTTTTCTCCACAATTTCCTCATTATTTTTCAAACAAAATATATTGTCTTCTTTTATTTCTCACATAGGAAGGGACCATGAGGCAACATCCGAATGTTGATTCTTCCTGAAGAAACAATGAAATAAAAGCAAGAAATTATCACCTTCCATCGTGTTTTTGCAACTTCCTAATATAATTCGAATCTTCTTTATCCCTTCTGTATTGTTTAAACCCTTAAACCATGTTAATCCTCTAAAATCAAATGATGGTGAGTGGTTTTCATTATTAATACATATTTTGCCTTTACTTCCATGTATCCATTCATTATACATCTTTCCGAGGTGTATACAAATTATGTAGGGTTACAAGTACAACCATTCTTAAAATCTAGCATAATAATACATCTTTTCATCATAAGCTTCAAGTTAAAAATCTGGTTTTACTCTTTTTTTTTGCCCTAAAAAACAATAAGACATTGTAAGCATGGTATAAGGGGAATAACTAATAGTATTAGAAATAATACTGATAATAAAATCACATGAACATGAAAAACATACCTAGCGTGTTTGTTTTGGGTATTTTGTTATATGCTATAAAGCCAGTAGTGTATATGATTAATAGAATAATGTTGGCATACAGGGAAAATACGAAAAACAACACTTCGATAAGAAAAAGTGAGAGAGGCAAAACTAAAACAAAGTGAAAAGGTTGAATAGAAGAATAAAGATAGAGAGAGAGAGAAGAGAGGGGGCACGGGAGAGCAGGGAGAAGAGCGCTAAAGAAAGAGAAATTGTGTGTGAGAGAGAGAGAGAGGAAGTGAGGTAAGGAAAGCGGAAAAAAGAGAAAGAGGAGTGATAACAGAATAGACTACTAAGGGCAGAAAGGGAAAGAATGAAAGAGAGAGAGAGAGCGAGAGATGCAGTGACAGGGGAGAAGCAATATGCAATATGCAATTGAGGAGCATTTAAGACGGAGAGAAGAGAGAGGGGAGCAGAGAGTGTGAGTGCGTGCGCACGCGTGTGCGTGTGTGTGTGTGAGGCACATACATTACTCAGTTGGTCTGTATAAAAGTATCTGCAAAATGAGACTACAATACGCTCTGTACTTAAGTTTGACCATGGCCTATACGGATGGAAATTCAACGTGATTCCTTCTTTGATCCAATGATAGTCACCGCCTCCTGATTATGTGCATCTTAATGAGAACATTCAGCTGTTTTAACAATAACGACTGCGTAAGCATTTTCGGTCATTGACAAAGGAGCAGTTTCACTCTCTTGGATTTTGTTTGGATGGTGTGCTCTGTTAGAGTGTGTCTTAAATACAAAAAACATCCCCAATGGGGAGCAGCAAAGTTGAAAAGCAGACGATTTTGGTGATATGAAATGTATTATTATTGATTTGCACACTTTCGCACACACCCATGACCTTATAAAACAATTAAAAGGCCATGATCTTTATAAGCCCTGTGCGTTGTAACTCTGGAATATTATAAGGAAATTGGGGGAAACGGGATTTTAACCCGTTGACTACTGAATTATGTAGTTCCCATAGGCTTAATACAGGTACCACCAGGTTCCAGTAGACAATGGGTTAAATCACAACCAATCCAAATATAACCTCTATCTGGTTATCAACATGTTTTTCAAAATAAAATATAGTACACGGAACAACAATTTCCGATTATAAACCAGAACTGCACATCGATTTTCTATGATTTAAGCGAGTTATTATAAAGTAGCATCAAAGCATTTGTAATATAAGCCCACAGCTGTTTTCTTTTTCTAAAAAAAAAGGTGTAAAAACTACTTACTGCTGCACACTTACATTTAACAAGCACACATTTTTATACCCGACAATTACAAGTTTGTTTCTTTAAAATGCCCTGATGTAACGCTGACTTCAAGTATAACTATGATTTCTATTTAAAAACAAAAACAAATAAGGACTTTTTGAGAATAACAAAAATATTGAAGCGCCACCAAAAATTGGTGCGGGCTTGGACGAGAAATACGTAATTTGTTATACTTGGCCTAATTACAATCAGAGGTTTTGAGGCCGCATTTCAAATTATAAGATTACTGTCTAAAATATTCAGGAAAATTTACCCAACATTCACCAACCAACTTTCTTGTGTGTAATTCTCAACAATGGCCTCAAACTGAAGTTGGAATAATATTACAATAACAATTCATTTTTTTTAAAAAGGGCATAGTTCTGTTTAAAATAGGTTTATATTTCTTCATATAAATTATCTTTCAATGTATTTTGATTTTTATTATGTATTCAGAACTGCATAAATAAATGAAATGATATATAAAAACTATTAAAAACACAATACATTCCATGACCTACAAATTAAAGCTGTCTTTTTCTTATGAAACTTACAATGAACAATATAAAGATAGGCTATAACCAACATAAATAAGTATTAAAAGGACCCATTGTAGTATTCTATTAAATAATGGATTGCTTTGATAAAATCCGAGTGCGGAAAAGTTTGGAACCCCATCCGAGTCTACCCGTTTGTGAAGCCGGATATATTCTCAAAGTCGCACGCATAGGCATTGATCGTTTTGACTGGCCAAGTTGGAGGAAAGATCTTATGAGCGTTGTTTGTTGATGGATGGCTGGCGCCGCTGTAAAGTGAGGCCCGGACGGGAGGTCTTTCGCACGCATAGGCATTCATCATTTTGTCTGGCCAAGTCGGAGGAAAGATCGTATGCAGGTTGTTTGATGGTGGATGACTGGCGCCGCTGTTAATGGAGAACTTAAACAAAAATAATAGTCATTATTTTGTCGAGGTCATAAGTGTATACATTATTAATTTGATATTTTAATCTAACAAGTGTCCCTTTTTCTTTTTAATCAATGTCCCTTTTGCCTTCTTATAAGTGCGCCTCTTCAGGTGTAAGATGTGCCCCTTTTTACCTCTGAAAAGTGTATATTCTACTTTAACACGCGCCCATCTTCTTTTCCAATTACTGACCCTTTCTCTTCGATAAGTACCCTTTTCTTTTTGTAAAAAGTGTCCCTTCCCCTTTCTTATAAATGTCGTCTTTTCAACTCCGATAAGTACCCCGATCCAGATCTGATAAGTTCTCCCCTTTACTTTGACAAATGCCCCTTTTCATTTGTAATAAGTGCATTTTACCATCAAAGAACTGCCCCTTTCCACTACTGATGAGTGCCTCATTTAGGTATGAGAAATGTCCTGTTCCCTTCTGATAGTGCCCATTTTCCCTTTTTAATAACTGCCCCTTTCCCTTCTAATAAATGCCACTTTTCACATCTAATTAGTTTTCCTTGTTAGTTTTGATGTGATTGGCTTTTGATATGAGTGCCCATCATTTGTTTTACCTACATTTCCCACTGCCGCTTACAAATTGTGCCCTTTTGCGATCATCTAAAGTCCCATATCTAGTTGGTTGGTTGGTTTTAACGTGACCAGGGGGCGATGGCTTTAAGTCATCATCTCCGAGGGACTTGGAAGTAAGGACTAATGCCTTATCAAAGGGCACTAGCGTATCGACCTGGTTTCGAACCCTACTGAGCCAATTCATGAACCTTCTACTCTCAAAGAAGCGGAGCAGTTTTGTGTAATAACTGGAAAAAAATTTCTTCTACTACAAGAAAGGTAGTGGAGCCGGGAGAAGGGCAGGGGGCACAATGTCCCACATTTCATAAGAACGAAGTGTGCCCCTTTTCAGAAAAACAACCGTGTTCCTTTTTTAAAAGCTATAAAACGTCCCTTCCGTCAGCCAAGGTAATCAATTGAACTTTGTTCAAAAATATAAAGTTTGAGACCATGCACGTTTGATTTTTCAAACTCAACTCAAATGCATTTCCATTACCAAATGTCATTCATGTTAAAAAGACTGAGACATAATTACGATACGTGTTATATGACAAGACGTTGTTATTATCCCTCATCTTCCCAGAAACAAGAGACTTCTCATAGCCACCCAACATTTTCCCCTAATTTAAAGCGACTGAGAGCATTCTTTTCCTTCAAATCTCCTCCAAAACTCGCTCGCTTTGCTCGCTCACATTTATAGTTTATCTCATTAAAAAGCACATTGAAGGTCTTATTTATTATTTCATTATGAAATTGTGCTTGAAACCCCATCTGGACAGGTCCGTCTAATAATAAAAAGTAATCGTTCGTAATGTGACCTCATAAACCTTACAGTTTTTGGTCGCTTGTTTCGCTCGCTCGCAAAGGAATATTTAGACCATCACACACAACAGCAAAGTATGATTTTAAAGCAATATCTTGGACCAATTAAAGATTAAATCTTGAAGATAATCCCTGGTAATGTATTAATTACGCTTTAGAGTATTTAAATATTTCGATTTGATGTTACCCTCCTTTTTTCTTCCAAATAGCGCCCCTTTTATGGTGCCCCTCCCCCACTTTGAAAAAATACGCTCTGCTGCCCCATTAATTTGATGATGATATTGTCTTGACTATAAAGACTTGTAAGAAATCTATTATTGCATTCTATGACTTTTGCATGTCTTGTCATGAAAGTGGTGTATACAAATTCAGTCTAAATTCAATTCGTACTTCAAGTTTCAACCAATCCGTTATCCACATTGATTTCCTTCTTTCTAAAGAAATAAGCAGAAAAATGAATGATAGGATATAATTTCAAATATTCCAATCTCAAGAAGAACTCTATTTTTTCACTCCCCTGTCTCTCTTCTTTATCTTCTTTCTCCTCTCTATTATCTCTCTTTCCCTCTTCCCCTCTTCCCCTCTTCCCCTCTCCCCCTCTCCCCCTCGCACCTCTGCCTCTCACTCTATCTCTCTTTGTAATTATTTAAATACTCCCCCGGTCGCTACGCTCCCTCGCATATGATACAGAATTTAACGCTAAACACTAGTATAGATCACATTTCCGAAGGTTCGTTAAATCTGCCAAAATTAGGTTCACAATTTTGAAAATTAGAAACAGGGTTCTCTTTCGATTTCGGGATAATGAACCTTCAGAATCATGAACCCTATTTCATTTTTTGAATTATAAACCTTTTAAATAACATTTATTTGGAATAAAACACCTTTAGATTGATAAATTTTGGGACTAACTGATCTTCGCAAATATTCATCTTCCGAAATATGAATTATTTTTATTGGGGGGGGGGAGACATGTAACCATTCTTGATGACTTCTAAGTTCTAAGAAGTATAGTTGAACAAGAGATAGATTTATTAATTCTATTTTCCAATGATCCGCCCATATATCTTCTTTTTTTTCTCATTGAATACAAAGTCTCTCAAATCAAAATAAAGTTATCAGTTATCAAAACATCTGGCCAACCCCAGCGGTCCTATCAATCATTACACTCGAACATTAATGATCAAAGAGGCGCAGATGAGGAAAGTGGCGAGGAATAATTCCATAAAAGGGAAGCCATAATCGGTTCGAGTCATCAATTCAGGAGCTCATCTCACCCGCAACAAGCTGCCTTAAGAAACTTCTCACCAGATTGGTAAGCATCTGTTTTCTACTTTGCAGACTATTATTACAGAACTTTACTTTATAACCGATTTCTCGATAATATTTTTTTGGACCAATCTTGCTTCGTTCAAAAGACACAATGTTTGTTTCTTTATTATTCACAAAAAGTTGCATAATATATTCTACAATCTGCCTAATAGGTTTATTTACTTTTAATTCATGATTTTGATGTATAATGTTTACGCTTTATTCGTTATGTTTCCCATTGTATATTATAATGATGGTATTATTAGTCTTCGGACTACAATCGTGTTTCAGTGTATGAAGATGTCAATTATGTAGAGGTGATGTGGTCCTGTGGACCCACCCCCCCCCACCCCACCCCCCCCCCCCCCCTCCACTCAGTGTTATTTAGGGTACGCGTATGCTCGTTCCCTCTTTTTGAAAGCACCCCCTATCTGAGGACTGCCAACATTTCCGAACCCCCCTTTCGCGGGCTTTTCGCGGGCTTTTCCTGCCTTGGAGACCCCCCTAAATACGGAAAAATGCTCAATAAATTCAGAATAATTTCTCAGGAGTCCAAAGAGATGTGGGGGAAAAAAAGAAAAACACCCCCTTTTTAAAGAAATCTCCGGGTGAAAAGTCAAATACACCCCTTTTTTTTACAATTCTCGGGGCGGACTTTACCGGACATTTTGGTAACACGCATGTGGTCATTCCGACCCCGGAGTAAGGGAGGGGGGCGGGCCTGTGGATGAGTCCAATCAAGTCCGGATTACGTAACGCATCGTTATTACGGTTCGCACATTTACAATAGGTGTTGGACAAGTCTATTGAAATAGCTTTTCAGTTTGATTTTTGCGAAGGTATTTGCAATCGTATACACCGTTATCATCACCCATCTATCTATCTCTAAATAAGTCGGCGGCGTAAGTAGGATTTTTTTTTTTTTTTTATGGCAGCCTGGGCAAAAAAAAAAAAAAAAAAAATTTGCACCGCCCCTGTCAAAACTGATGAGCTTAGGTACTAACAAGCTTAGTTCTCATTAATATCGTTCAGAAATAATAGCAATGTAGTGAAAATGATTTTAACCCAATTAATCCGGGAATTGGTAACCAACAGCTTGATTAGTCTATGAGTTATCCAAGCGAGGGAGGAAAAGCGACCATGCGGTAAAATTGATTGATTTTATTCGTTAAATATAGACCTAAATAAATTTGTATCATGGGATATACAACATAAAAAGGAAATACCTTCAGATCATATGATAATACGTTAAGGGAATCTTCGGGAAATCGTGTTGAGATATGAATAAAATTACACTGATTTGTTGAAATGACAACCTTCCTAAGTTTGATACTCATCTCAGTTTGAAAAATCTGTAGATTGGCAAGTATTTCCAATATAACGAGAGTACTAACGGGGTGGGCTCTTTTTTATTATAAATTTAATTCATGCAAAATTTGCATTTCACCATTCAAAACGCGATTTCTTATGCGTTTTACATTTTGGAGGAAAACATTCCAACCGACGGTGTTCCAGAGTTTGAAAATAGAAAAATGCCAATCTATTAAGTTCTTCCCATATTCTAGGAATATAATAAGGACGAACATTTTCGAGGAATTCAGCACAGAAATATGGAACCGGCAAAATAGGAATGACTCCCAATTCTCGTTTCCTTTGTTCTTCTTTTGTTAAACCAAACAGAATAGCCTTTCACATATTGCAGGCTGCTTCCCAAGCTAAACTAGTCAAGATGATGATCAAAGTAGCTCTTGTGCTCTGTGCTATTGTGGCAACCAGTATGGTGTGCGCCAAGAATTTTGAAGAGCAAGATGCAGTGGACACCTGTAAGTACATAAGTCAGCCAGGGACGTCAATGCTTGAAAAGTTTTGACCGCCCCCTTAACCCTAAAAAGGCTGGGTTATTTGAGGTGTTATATACGGCCGGGGGGGGGGGGGGGCATTATGGCCCCCTCTTAAGATCTCGGCCGTGAATAGTCTGATCTCCGCGAAAATTTGCACGCATGTCCAGTGAAGTGTATAGAATGATAATTTCACATTTTTAAAAAATTCACTAATTTGCACATTTATGGTAATTTATGCAAATAAGGTCATGAAAATCACATTTTACCTATGATCCATATATTATTCATATTTAAGCATTCCTTCTCACTACATATATTCATTAGACCATTTGGAATGATAATACGACAAAAAAAATTGAAGAGCCAGCTTATTCCTTGTGTTATCTCTTGTTTTGATAATTTCTATAGTATTTCATTGTTTTTTTACTTATGTATTTTATTGTTTTTGTTGTTTTATTTCATTTCTAACTACAATTCAACTATTTTGACTACCAAAACAACCACCTAAACTTTAAACAAAACCCAATAACCCACGTTTGATCTATTTTTAGGAAAAATGACATTTCCATATGTTTTGTACACAAATCATGAAAATTTGCGATTTTCGGGCTGACATGCAAAGACAAAAGGTCACGTGACCTTGTAACTGTAGGTCAGATTTTCAAAATAATTTTTTTTTAAATGCGCAAGACTCGAAAGAAAAAAGTCCGCGAGCGGCGGGGCGCCATCCAAATGCGTTCTCGAACAATCAGAAAAATCGTGGAGGGGGGCATAATGCCCCCCCCCCGGCCTTATTAGGGTTAAGAAGTGGAATTACGACATTTTGTTAACACATGACAATATTGTCGTACGACCCTAATTTACTCGGGGGGGGGGGGGCAGTAAGAATATAATGTGTTTTCCAGGCAAGGGTACTCTAAATGCGTTTTAACAAACTCAACAAACTTTCTTTGTTTCCCTCTCATTTTTTTGCCTATTAATTTGACACCCTAAATGCGCCACTCGCCTTAACCAGCCAAAACTTGTTTTGGCGCGTATGTACATCGATATATATTTGAAAGCTCCCCCATGTGTTTTTTCTTTCTTTTCATTACATCTCGTTTCTATGGCAACCATGCAGTGCTGAATCTGATGCTCTCGGAGGAGGCTGCATCTCCTGATGATGTAGCATTGCAAAGAATGATCAAGCGCATGGTTGGTAAAGTCAAAGGCTTCTTCTCGGATGAAGTTGCATCTCCTGATGCTGTAGCCTTGCAAGGCTTGATCAAGGGCATGGTTGGTAAAGTCAAAGGCATCCTCTCGGAGGAGATTGCATCTCCTGATGACGCGGTAGCCTTGCAGGGATGGAGGAGGCGAGCCCACAAAGTTGGACGTCATGAAGTTCCTAAGATACCCCATCGCCATGATTAGCAAAGAGGATCTTAAATTGAAAAGCGCTGGTGCACAAGCCCTTTTCCGATAGACTCGGTATGTTTCGTAAAATAACATGAAACAAGATAATCGTAGTGCAGATGCTCAACCAATGATTTTCCACTCGCAGTTACATATATAGAGCTGCTTAATAATCATCAAAATTTCAAATTAGACTCAATCACTTTTTGTCAAGTATTTGTCAAGTATTTGTCAAGTCCCAAGTAAGCAGTGTTTAAGACTATAATATTGTGGGCCTATACGGGACTGTGGACATGAGCCAGTGTCGGATACAAGGGGGGGGGGGCCCTGACCTTTATTTGGAGACAGTCCCCCTCCCCTGGTGCTCAAGGGGGAGGGGGTGATTTTCAAATTTTCGAGGGCAAAAAAAAGGACTGCTCACTACACCCCCCCCCCCCCCCTCCCACTGAGTGAATTATCTGCCGGCGTGATTTTCAATTTGTCAGGGGCCACAAAAAAAAAAGCTCCTTACCCCCCCCCCCCCCCTCCCCTCTCACCGGCTTGATCTGCCCCTGACATGAGCATACTTGCGTTCTTACTCAAAAGATACTTCTCTCAATTTATATGTTCCAGCAGTATCAGTTTTAGACTTGTTGCTGATTACAATCTATTATTCTCAAACGCTGTGATCAATAGTGATAAACATGGAGTCATTTTATTATGAAATTATCTTCGAATACGAAATACAATACACATATACAGGTCTATATGCTTCCTTCTTCTCACCGTGCCCCCTCTCCCTTTCTCTCCACCCCTCTCCCTTTTCCATTCTTTCTCTGTCTCCCTTTCTCACCCTCTCTCCCCCTTTCTCTGTCCCCATATCTCCCCCTCCCCCTCTGTCTCCACTCTCTCTCTCTCTCTCTCTCTCTCTCTCTCTTTCCCCTCCCGCCTTTCTCTGTCCCCATTTCTCCCCCTCCCCCTCTGTCTCCACTCTCTCTCTCTCTCTCTCTCTCTCTTTCCCCTCCCGTTTTTCTCTGACTCCCTTTTTTCCACAATTTCCTCATTATATCTTTAACCAAAGATATTGTCTTCTTTTATTTCTCACATAGGAAGGGATCGTGATACAACATTTGGAACGCTTGATGTCGATTCTTCCTCGAGAAACAATGAAATAAAAGCAAAAAATTGTCATCTTCCATCGTGTATTTGCAACTTTTCTAAAATTAGAATCTTCTTTACCACTTCTGTATTTGTTAAGCCTTTAAACCTTGTTAATCTTCTAAAATGAAATAATGGTGAGTGGTTTTCGTTTATAACACATATTTTCTGTTTCTTCCATGTTTTTAGTCATTATACATCTTTCAAATATATTTAGGGCTAACTGTACACCAACCTTAAAATCTAGCACAATACTACATCGTTTCATCATAAGCTTCAAATTAAAAATCTTCTCTCTGTTTTGCTCTTTTTTTTTCCTAAAGAAAAATACCAACAACAAGACATTGTAAGCATGGTATAAGGGGAATAACTAATAGTATTAGTAATAATGCTGATAATAAAATCACATGAACTTGCAAAACATACCTAGCGTGTTTGTTTTGGGTATTTTGTTATATGCTATAAAGCCAGTAGTGTATGATTAGTAGAATAATGTTGGCATATACAGGGATAATACGAAAAACAACACTTCGATAAGAAAAAGTGTGAGAGGCAAAAATAAAACAAAGTGAAAAGGTTGAATAGAAGAATAAAGATAGAGAGAGAACAGAGGGGAGCACGGGAGAGCAGAGAGAGGAGAGATAAAGAAAGAGAAAGTGTGTGTGAGAGAGAGAGAGAGAGAGAGAGAGGGGAGGGAGGCAAGGAAAGCGGACAAAAAAGAGAAATATGAGTGGTAACAGAAGAGGCAGAAAGGGAAAGAATGAAAAAGAGAGAGAGAGATGCAGTGACAGGGGAGAAGCAATAAATATGCAATTGAGGAGCATTTAAGATGGAGAGAAGAGAGAGGGGAGCAGAGAGGAAAAGGATAAAATTAATGCTGAGTGTCCCTTTTTAGGTGCAAGAAGTGCCATTTTTACCTCCGAGAATTGCCCCTTTTACTTGCCACGAGCACCTTTTCTTTTCTTATAACTGTCCTTTCTCCATAATATACACCTCTAATTCAAGGCGACGTAGAGCCCCTATTTCTTTAATGATCACTAGAGCTCGTTCGCTACGCTCGCTCGCACCTATAAATGTTATAATTTGTGTTACTTATTAAAGAACTTTTCAGTCTTTCTTCATTAGATTGTGCTTAATACTCATCAGGGTTTGTTTTTTGTCTTCTTTAAAAGATGTAATTTTTCGCACTGGGACCTCACAAATCTTAAAATTTGTGCTCGCTCGCTTAGTTCACTCGAAAACTAATATTCAGTCCATCCCGCCCAACTGCAAAGTATGTTGCTTAAGCAGTATCTTGTACCACGTAAAGAAAGAAACAAGAGTTGAATTCATCACTGGTAGTGACGATGTAGGGGTATATACCAATGTCTAAAAATGGTATATGTTTGTTTGTTTTTTGTTTTTTTTATGTTTCCCTTTGTAGATGCCCCTTTTTTTCTCCAGAAAGTGCCCTTTTTTGTTGGTGCCTCCCCTTCCTATTTCGGAAGACGCTCCGCCATCCCTGCATTATGATACTTGATGGTGATTTTTTTTTTTGTCTTCTTATGACCCCCAATTTTTTTTTTTGTGCTCATTACGCCACTGATAATAATAATGATAATAATATTAATAATAATTATGATAATAATAATGATAATGATGATGATCATCATTATAACCTACTTTTACAAAGGGGAAGAAAGAAAAAAAAGATGAACGATGATGGTGATGTTGAATGCTGAGTACGATAATTTAAATTTGCCGACAAGGCCTAGAAAGATATTTGCAAATATATCGACAACAATCGTGAATTTGCTGCCAGGATCACCCCTCTCACTATAGCAATGACTCGAGTCATACAACTCTCATATAAATGTATGAGCTAGGTCGGAGTCAGATCGAATACTTAGCTGGAGTAAACCTTCGACATCGCGACACGTCTGTCCATCACAGCTTAATCCCGTCTCCATCGACCGCCCGTCTTTATTTTCATAAATCAACACTCACGTCAATCTTAATTTGGTAAGTTGATTTAAGGTGCCTTTTTAGTTGATTGTTCGTGAGTTGTATTTGTTTGTTATTTCTTAACGTATGAAATGCATTCATGTATGAATACAATTTTGTGGATGTTTGAATTGCTTTGTGTTTAAGACAAGGTACATGGAAATATAGTGAATGCATGGTCACGTAGAGAGGTTGAGAGAAATATCATTTTGTTCTTGCAAAAGATAGGAAATAAAAAGGAACAATTACCTTTGTTTCTACCAATTAATATCAGCGATTTGTGACTTTAAAGTTAATAAAAAGACTACATGTAAATAATAAAAGGATTAAACAGCATTTTTTGTATTTTTGTACTGTCCATAACCGAAGAAATAGTCCAAAATGGAAAAAAAATCATGTTTATCATTTCGCCGATGAATAACAAGGCCCATCTACACCCGAATCCACTATCGGTGAAACTCAAGATACATAATGGAAACCTTCGCTGAATGAAGAAACTAACCCATCGACAACTAGGAGTGTTTCCTTATCTTTATATTTTTTTTTATAAATCCCGAAACTTCAGAGTTCTTTCCGCTTGAAAGAGTATTAAAGCCTCCAAGTACTAGTTACTCATGTTTTATGCCGGACAAAGATTGTACTTCAGTGTGCTGAGATGAGGGGTTTGAATCTATAACAGAAATTATTTGATGACGATGATAATGTTACTGATAATGATATTTCGTTCGTTCGTGTCTCCTTAGATCAAGATTAATGTAACTTGATCTTCGGAGTAGTTGCTACAACCGGCCGTGTCAGACACGTTGCCCCGGGGTGCGAGATAGGACTCTTGTAGCGTGCCCCCAATTAAAACAATTATACAATAACAGTTTACATTACATTTAATTAATAGTATGAAACTATTAAAATTACTCTCATGTTACGGGAAACATATATGTATATATTATGAATCAATTAATGATATTGATGATGATTCACATAATTCATATGATGCCATATTTCTTTTAAAAACATTCAAATGCGCAGGCTCCAACAATCAATCAAATGATTTGAAGTCGAACTTTTCGAACTATTCTAAGCAATTTTTCTGTATTAGTATTAAGTATTGCATCACCTGTCCCGGAGAGGCGAAAACGAGCTGAATTATTGTAACCCTTGGGTCTTTCCTCCCGGTTAGTGCTTGGGGGTGTGCAGGTGGACCACTACGCCGGGGTTTCCCCCTACTCTTAATATACGAAAAGTGCAGTGGGTTCTTAACGTGCAAAGGTGGTGACTCTCCTCTCGTCATCAAAAAAGTATTTTTAGAGTTTCCAAATTTGAACTTCATTTTCCGAAAGAGCATCAAAAATAATGTCCAAATGTTGAAAACCAATTTAATATGTTCAGTATTGGCTGAGATATGACCATCCCAATAAATAGATTTCAATATGAAATCACTGTTATTTTGCTGAGGTTTGTAATGTTATGAACCAGAGCAAAATAACAATAACATTTATTGGTCAAATACTCTGAATTAATATATTATACGCTTCTTCTTCTTTTTTTTGGAGAGGGGATGACTTAGGGGAACGCCAAAGCTGGATACGCCGCTGTCGCTGATGCACTAGTCAATTAGATTCTTACTGTTCGGATTGTGGGCTGTCAAATTGTCAC